CCGATTCCCTCTCCTTGACATCAAGGCGCGCCTGGCTTGGTGGTGAATGTGTTGGTTGAAAGTGTTGGGGGCGTGGGTTCAACACCCACCCCTGCCAATTTTTTGGTTCTTTTTCCCTAATTCTCTATTCTTTTACTCTTTTCCCTTTATTTTCCACTACACTTTAACAAAAAAAACCTTTTCTTGAATAAACCCTAATTAGTTTTAGGTTTCTATTTAAGATCAATTTAGGTTTTGTTTAGGGTTTTTACTAATTAATCAATTTTTCAATTAAAGTCGATTTAGTTTTTTAAGTTTTAATTGATCAATTCTTTTTTAATCAACTAAAATTAAATATTTTTTTAGGCTAATCGTCAAAATCTCTTTTCTATCAAAAATCATCAAAACAATTTCCTTTCCCTTTTCCCTTTTTTACATTTTCGCATAGTTTAGTATTTTCCCATTTTTTCCAATTATTGTAACTGCTTATGGTTTGTAATAGTAATTAGGGTTTCTATTTCCTGCATTCTTATTACTTATGTACCTCTCCCAAAATGATGTAATAGGTTTTGGTTTTCTTTTCGCATCTACTTTATGTAGATTATTGTTGTATATTTTGCTCTATTATTGATAGTAATTAGGTCATGTATGACAAGATTAAAAGCAAACAATAGCTAATCCTGATGCAAGATAAATAATAATTGAATCACAACACACTTTACACATCCACACCTCTAGGGTAACCTCTCTTGCTTCCTCGATAAAAACAGTCATGTCCCGTGAATGTGGGGACGCTTTAGCACATTCCCTCGAAAATAAATATCGTAGTCCCTCGATGACCCTTTCGATGTTGCCTTCGGTAAACGATCTAGTCCCTTAAATGATAATTGCTAAAGTGTCATTACGAGTTTCCTTCGATGACTGTATGATGACCCGCGCTTGTCCCTTCACATCCAACAATAGGACTTCCTACTAACTAATAGTAGGATAGCATTATCTGAAGGAGGAGGAAATTACAAGAAAGACCTTGAGTAGGTAGATCATTGTTAATCGCTTGCTCACAAAGCTCATCAAAACAAAACATTTCACACAGACACTTTCGAAATATTTTTAAAACACTTTGTACGCATTCTCGAGGACAGATACGAGGATCATTACAAAGTTTGTCTTACAATTGGCATTTTCAAAATATTTTCAAACATACGACACAAAGCAATTTTCAAAATAAAGTGACCTAACGATTAAGAGCCCGTAGATAACTACGGATGAAAAGGATGCTGACACCTTTCCTTTTCATAACCTACCCCACGAACTCAAAAAAAATCTCGAAGGTCTTTCATGTTCTTTTCAATCTTTCCTTATTTGATAAAAGAAAAGTCGATGGCGACTCTTGTTATCCGTAACATTTGCGATAAAATGCAAAACCAAGTCAGTTCACCCACCGTATTACACTCACCGACGGTAAAACCTAACCAAATACCTTAGTAAACATGAAGAGAAACAAACATGTACACTAAATTTACAAGTGTGCAAAACATGTAAAATTCACAAGTTTGGTAATCACAAACAAATAAATGCACAAGTGAGAATAGACAATATATACGATATCTACAAAACTCAAAAATAATGAAACTATCACAATGCAACCCAATAAAAACACCAATCCTCGATAACAATGCCATTTTACTTAAGCGGTAAAGCGGCAAACAAAAGTAAGTATTTTTATAGGTTATGTCATATTGTCTCCACAAGGATTAGTGGTACTGAATTGTCATTCGAAAATTTCTTGCGTTTATGAGTTTGGTTTGAATGGGTTTAAAGTTGTACATGCAGGAATTAAAAGTTATGAATATGAAAAGAATTCATTCTTCAGAGAAGAGACTTATCAAGCATGCATATAATCCACTTCTCACAAACTTAAACATATCGACCAGTAATACTTAACCTACAATACTCATCAATATCATCACGTATCAAACACAACACCCATTGTATCATCTCAGAGGCGATCTCTCAACCAACCACCACAACATATAAGTCAATTGTGCTACTCGCGTTGACGATCTCCCAACACAACATAACCAACACAGAGGCATTAATCACAAACACCCAAGTGAATAATAGCTCTAAATATATCTATAGAATCTAGACACTCTTAGATAATCATCCTAGATAAGAATTCAAGCAGTATATATCTATAACAACCTAAATCCCAAAGCATAGAGCAAAAATTCAGGATAATAATCTACAAAGATTTTTAAAGTAAGCTTTATACAACGCCATGAGAGACAAATATACATGAGTTCAAAGTAAATACATATACAAGACCTAACAAACGAAGAATACACAAAGAAGAAGAGAAATGAACCACAAATTTCATGGGTTGTCAGCATCGATCGATGAGAAATCCATCCCGGATCATCCATATGCAAGCTCCATTGTTGTTTTCTAAGTTAATCTACCAAAGAATGGGCGTGATGAAGTTTGGGAACAAATACCCCAAAAAAATATCCCTAAAAATATGTTTTTACAACCTAAATACAAAATTGGATCAGATACGCACCGCCCAACGCTCAAGACCTCTGCCTGGTGTTGCCTTTTATTCATCCACTCATCCTGCGCCATGCATGCAAAAATGGAAAAAATATCTTCTACCGCCCGACGCTCACAACCACCGCCTGACGCTGTCTTCAACCTGACGCTCAGTTTTCCCTTGCTTCGCCCGACGCACGTGACAAAACATCAAAACTCAGCTTCTTTTCTTAGCTTTCTTTCTTTGCCTTCTTCCTTTTATTGTTCTAAAAATGCATCTTGGAGCTTTTATTAATCAATGCTCCAACAATGCTCACATACGTACAAAATGAATGGAAAACTATCAAATGATACACAAATGAATCAAAAACTCAATTATGTACAAACTAAACGTATTTACACAAAAGTCGGATTTATTCAACCGATATTAACAATAAAAAATCGATAAGTACAACAAAAAATATATACAAAAATGACTACAATTTATACTTATTATTAGTTCACTTTGGTATCACTATAATAATGAATTAATAGGTGGTTGGATGCATCCTATTTTTTTGTGATGTCAATGGGAATAATTTTCGTGCAAATGAAACTCTGCTATTTGGAGAAGTTGCATTGGCCTCCTTAATACCACTTTGAGGTAAATCAAATTGTAGTGATTTTAGCAGAGTACACATAAGATTTTATTGGTTGTTGATATGAGTACACCTATGTAAGCTGTTTGAATCATGAAAGCTTTTATGGGGTCTTTAAATTGTGGAACAAATACTGACCTGGTATGTTTTGGATATCTATTATCAAGGGCAGACGTCTCCTTTAGCAAATAGTTATGTTATGTCTTCGAAGTCTCAGCTACTTATGGTGTTTCTCTTCTCAAAGTTGATTCTTTCATACTTACAATGCAAAGTTGTCAACATTCTTTAATGATGTTTGATTGTATAATTGACTGGCCTTATAGGGCTTGCCATTTGGCCAAACAAGCTTTCGATGAGTTGTATAATATGAAATGAAATATAATGTTTAAAATTAATAAAAATTTGTATAAATATTTAATTTTAGTTATCTAATTTTTGTTATTGTTGAAAGTGTATTGTAAAATATTTAATGAATAAATTTATTTTAATATTAATAGTATTAAAAAATAAATTTTAAAATTTATTATATTTTTCAAATATAATTTATATTTATAAAATAAAATTTAATTTTTTTTATATTTTATATAATTTTTTAGTGACACTTATAAAATCGTAGGTATAATTTTTACCACTTATAAAACCAGGATAACGTATAGTGACTGTCGTTGTAACTATAGGTAAAATATTGAATGTAGCTAGAAGTTATAGTGACAATTAATCTAGCGTCACACTACACTCTCTTATAGTTGACGTCAACGGGGGGGCGGGGGATGTCACGGAAAGTTTTGCACACTTTTACCTATAAATATTTGACCTTTAATGACATACTATGAGTGTCACAAAAAATCAATTTTCTTATAGTGGTCTTGAAGTAGTGAAATGACGTCTTAGTAATGCAGTATTAGGGTTATAGTGGTCTTGAAGTAGTGAAATGACGTCTTAGTAATGCAGTATTAGGGTGTTCGCGGTTCGGTTTGGATCGGTTTTAAGACAAAAAATCATTTGATCCAAAGATAAATTTATTTGCAGTTCGGTTCGGTCTTGGATGATATATTAAAAAAATCCAATCCAATTCGATCCAATTTTATGCGGTTTAATTTGGATCGATTTTTGGATATCCAAATTACACATTATATTTTTATTAATATTATAAAACTACTAATAAATCATAGATTTGATATAATATATAACATATAATATATTAAAAGTTAATATTCCAAAATGAGTGTGATTGATTATGATTGAAATAATAAAAATAAATAAATTATACCAAGCTAATAACTATAATTAAAAAAATTATTATCATCTAATAATAAATTCATGTAACATATCATACTAATAAAAAGTAAATAAGTATAAAAATATATGTATGCGGTATAGTTTGGTTTGGATCGGTTTTTGAAAAATTGATCCGAAATATGATCCGAACCGATCGATTTTCACAAAATGGCATCCAAACACATCCAATAAATTTTGATTTTTTGCGATTTTCGGTTTTTTGGATCGGTTTTTGGTTTTTTATTTGAATTGGTTTGAATTTGAACATCCCTATGCAGTATTGACTGATTTCTATATTAGGATGCTAATTTGGAACCCTAACAAAACCAGAGGAAGCCAAGGATTAAGAAGATAAATAAAACTAAACTAATAAAATAAATAACTTTTTCATTCATTTGATGATGTTTCAATGTCCCGTAAAGACTACATATATAATACTCATAGTGGATACTAAACATAAAAGTCTAATTACTATTAAGAGCCCAATAACAAAACCAATAGTTAATAATATAAATGAATTACTAAATTAAATTCTAATTTAATTTAACTCATAATTCTACTCTCTATCATTACTCACCCCTTCAAGACCAACCTTGTCCTCAAGGTTGTAGAGAACAAAAAACACAAGCAATTTGCAACATATTCTGGAGGGTGAAACATTATAAATGATGCACCAAAACAAGGTGAAAATTTTGTTTGTGGCTCCTTTATGCCATCCTCAGTTCCAGCCACCAGAGCGGTATATCCACTAATGAAATGGTACATGGCCTGCGCCAGGTTCAGTTTACTCACAGGTGGTAGCACACCAAAAGCATCACATGCCAAAAGAATAATATTCTTTGGATGATGTCCAACACATGATAGCCTATCTCTAAACTGTATAAAATTATCATCTGTATCCAGCGTGCTAATTCTTACATATTTGGGGCTAGCCTCAAATTGTTTACCACTTCAGTCAAAATCTTGTGTCCACGAAGGAAACTTTCACAATCTTTGATAAACGTTCACACTTCAACCAAGCACAAGCTGGTTGAGTCTCGGACTCCTGGTTGAGAAAGTTGAAGAATGCAGAAGAAAATTAGGGCAAATTGAATAGATCACCACTATCAATGGCTGCACGAAGTAGTTTCCATCCATCATCTTGTAGTTGTACTTGAAAAACGATTTTTCTCCGCCTTGAGAATTTTCTTCTTCGCAGCTGTCAACACTATTTTTATAACCTTAGAAGCTCTGAGTTGAGAATCCTTTGAGATGCCAATTGTATTTAGCTCAATGAATTTAGTCATTTTCTTTGCTACCTCGAGGTCTTTCACAAGAGCCCACCCTATGCGCATTCCAGCGTGACCAGTGCTTTTCGAGACAGTGAAAAGAGTAAGATCATAATTCGAAGCAGATGATATTGGAGCGTACTAAGGCCGATAATAGGCAAGGTCATGAACCGATAGTCAGTGATTTCGGTTCACTACTGATTATCTTGTAAATCCATCAAGGTTATTAGGAGAAGTAACCAACTCAGTGTATGGACCATCTTTGTCAAAAGTATCTGCATCACCAACCCATTTGTAAAGACCTGATTTCTGGTAATCTGTCATCAATAGATACGACTGGTTTTCTGGAGCAGAGGAGATGAGCATGAGATCGTCACGTGTAGGCTTCGGGTCACACTCCTGTTGGAGCTTTGACTCCTCATTCTCTAGCTTGAGTGATGAATCCTCAATATGCTTCTCCACAACCTCAATGCTTTCAGATGTTGTCAGTCTTGACCATATTTTCTAGTTATCAATAGCTTGCTGCAACTGCCTCTGAGCCAAATTTACCCAGAAAACAACCTCTTCTAAACCCCACTCATCTTTTTCTCTAAAAGTTGCAGCTCGGGGACCAAAATGTACAAGAAATTCTCTGTGGAGATCAACATCCATTATAGAATTATAAGCTTGACTTATAGGAATTGAACCAATCAGCATGTCCATCAAACTACCCGTTCTCAGTTCTCATGGAAAATAACTGTGAGCAAGAAACTTTTGTTGTGCCAAGTTTAGGAATTGCAGCAATGCATGTAAGTGCAAGAAGGAGAAGTTTGATTCTGAGACAAATTTCGTCATACCCATCAACACCTGAACCAATTGAACTATTGTTGTTAACCTCAATAGTCTTTCCATTTGAAGCCGTGAGAATGTCTCCAGGCCTCATACCTATTCCATTGATCATATTCTCACAAGTTGCAACTATAAAATGATCCGCCTGTGTACCCATCCCAACAGCCAACATCAACTCTCCCTTAACTTTATCCATAACCCACGTCCAGTCAAAAAGATGAAAGATGAAGAGGAAAAAAATATAAAGATCCATATGTATCTCACCACATTTAGAGTACATATCGATCAATGAATTTCAAACCACTCCATAAATACCTCTCCTAACAACATAACTATGAATCGCATGACCCTCTTGCAGCCCCACAAATTTTGCCTCTAACGTAACGCGATTCAGAAGCATCCCTTGTTGCTGCATTGTGGAAGCAATCTTGAAAGCACCATAAGGAGAGGAATCACCAGAGTGAGCATATGCGTTGATAATGGAAGTGTAAGCAACATTGTTTGTGTTAGTAATTTCATCAAACACCTTATGTGCATATTTTTTTCCATATTGCGAGTAAAACCGAATGAGAGAAGAACCTACAAAACAATCAGAGTTGAAACTGAGCTTGATGGAAATGGGAGGCACATCGGATGAACGAAGAGAGCGGAGGAGAAGACGACATAACGACATGAATGAATTCTCGTCAGGAATTTGATATAGCGGAATCCCCGTTGAAGTAGGAGTAGCGAAGTAGGGCACATAAGATGTTGGATGATCCAAAACCGTATACCCTTCTTGTGGAGACATAACAGCAGGGCCTTCATCAATTAACAGACGATTCCTCTCTTCTATATCCTTTTCCCACTTCAACAATTTATACTGCTCAGGCGTAAACGACCCTTGTAAAGCACCAGGAGTATGAGTAGCCAATTCAACACCACCTACAGGAGTCACACCGAAAGTAACCACAGAAACTCGTTTAGCATCACAATCCTCAGCTTTGAAAGAATAAACATGAGTTGATGGATACTCTAAACTCAACAACGACTCAGCTGAACCCCAATCTTGTTGGTTCAACTCGTTAAAATCAAAACTCCCTTTCTCATCATCATTCGAAACCCTAGAGTCAGAGCTTAATGCTCTAAGCGCTTTCATAGTGTGGTGGTGGTGCGGTGGTATGAGAGGCTGCACAGTCGGCAAAGAGATAGTTTTAGAGAGAGGAACCTGAGAAACAACGGTTGCCACTAGAATGTTATCGTCGGTAACCGGAAATGCTCTGGAAAGATCTGTATTTAGAATGGATGTTGGTGATGATGTAGATGTGGAAATGGGTGTTTGTTGTTATTTTTGTTGTGAATCAATTTTGCAAACAGGTGGTGGGTGTTGTTGAACCGTGTGTGACCATGACTATGAAACTGAAAGAAGATTAATAGATGGGAAGATGAATTGATCTTTGGAGTTTTTTCTGAATCCAACATAGTTGTTTTGGGGTTTAGCGGATTTAAAGTTTTTTTTTATAAGACAGATGAGACACTTGCAAAATTTTCTCATAATCTCTTATATTACTAGAATGATTTTGATAGTTGTGACCAAGTGTGGATGAGGTGTTTGTTGGTTATAGTTGTTGATGATAATTATTGTAGGAGCATGAATAATGAGATGATCAATAGGATTAATATGAATTAGCTGGAGGTGGTGTATATCCATGATTAAAATACAAACATGATGATGGAGTTGTAACATATGAATTTGTGAGTAAGGTGAAAAGATTTCCCATGTAAAATATGGAAATTAGGAAGTGATTGGAGATGTAAAAGAGAGATTTGTAAGATAGGTTGGAGGAATGCTCCATTGATGAGATAAATGTGTATGATAAGGATAGTCTATAAGAGGATTTGAGTACATGGATGAAGGCACCAATTGTTAGGGTGCTAATTTAGAACCTAACAAAACTAGATGAAGCCAAAGATTAAGAAGATAAATAAAACTAAACTAATAAAATAAAGCACTTTTACATTCATTTAATGATGCTTCAATGTCTCATAGAGACTACAAATATAATACTTATAGTGAATACTAAACATAAAAGTCCAATTATTATTAAGAGCTCAATAACAATACCAATAACTAATAATATAAATGACTTACTAAATCAATATTATAATTTAATTTAACTCATAATTCTACTCTCTATCATTCTATTTGCTACTGCATCGTACTTGTTGTATCCCAAAATTTCCCCTCTTCATTTTAACACTAATTGTCTTATATTTCATCATCATATGCATATATACATGTCATAGGGTCCATGCTCATGGAATCAAGGGTTTTTCTTTGTGAAAAGAGTTGCGAAATTTGACTGTCCCGTTAAACAACATTGTGAAGTAGAACTCGGGTTTTTTTTCTTCATTTTTATGCATGCCACGCGTGTTCCAAGCTATCCAATCAGTGATTAGGTGAGTCATCATCATATCAAGCTCTTATGTGTTTCAACACCCTCTGAATTATGCAGAAAGTCAAACGTTTCATTTGATTTGAGACTATGCAAACAGAAATTCAGTATTATATATTTCAAGCTCATAAATTTATAACTTGAGATCAGAAAACTGTTTGGGAATGATTCTTCAGTTGTTAGAATCGTCTCTTGATCTCCTCAAATTCATTTGTTCAAGTTGAAGGCTAATTTTGTGAGGAAGATTTTCTAAGGCGCCAAATTCTTGAAATGCGTTATATAGTCGATTTACTGTTTCTCTTGTTTTCAAATGCTTAAAAATTTATAACTTCTGAATGGAAAGTCATATATGAGTGTTGCTCAAAGCGTTTGAACCATATTGTTATTTCCTTCAGTTCTCGTGTTCGAATGGAAAGCCAATTCATTGAAGAAGATCTCCAAATGTGCGAGTATTCAGAAGTTATACGGTGCAAAACAGTGAAAATAATGTGTTGAACCGTTGTTTTTAGATGTTCAAAAATTCATAACTTTCGCTCAGTTCGATGTTTTTGGATGGCTCTTTGGGAGAAAAATCTGTCTTGATTTTATCATTAATCTGTATGTTCGGGTCAGGAGCTAATTCTTTGTAGAAGATTTTTGAAAGTGTCGATTACCAGAGAAAATTACACGCCAGATTGTTTATTTACTGGACTTTTTTTGATATTGTAAAAATAGTAACTCTCTTAATTTTTATTGTATCGGGACGATCCTTGAAGCGTGAGATCACAAATTTTATCAGCTACAACTTTGCTTCAGGGCCCGAGTTCAGATTGTGCTCCGAAGGTTCCGGTTTGTGGCTCGCATCTGAAAGTGTGCACGGAAGTAAGCTGAAATTGTTCAAAATAGTGAAATTAGTCCACTGTTTCTCGCTATTCGAAAAATCATAACTTATTCATTTTTTATTGTATCAGGGTGATACTTTCGACATGACGTCACAAATTTCGTCATCTACGATTTTGTTTCAGGGTTTGCATTGATATTTTTCACCGAACATCATGAGTTTGTGGTTTGTTTGCACGCCGTACACAAAATAAGCTGTAAAATTTTGTACTGTGAGTTTTTACACTGTGTTTCTCGTTGTCCAGGGCAATGTAATTTGCTCAACTTTTATTATATCATGACTATTCTTTCGGCTCTACGTCACAAATTTCGTCATCGAAATATTTGTTTCAAGTCGCGCATCAGGATTTCACATCCATTGTGATGAGCTTGTGGTTCGATCTCGCACTGCATGAAATAAGTTTAAAATTCAAGTTTTGGAACCAAACTATATATTTCAAATTTTAAATTTTCAAACACAATTACACTCACTTTTTCCACTCTCTCAATCAAACACATTTCTCTCTCACTTTTCTCTCATCTTCTCATAAACTTCATCAAGAACAACTCACAAAAATTAAACAAAACTCATTAAATCTTCAACTCTTTCTCCTTCCGATTTCGCAAGCTAGTCTCCACCTTTGTGCCTTTCGTTTCTGGCGACTCCTTCGGTCGTAACTCCTTTTGTTGCCGCCACGAACAACCGGTGATTTTCCTCTGTCCATCGTAGTTTTTCGTGGCGAATTCATGATGCTCCTTCTCTTCCCCATCCGTGATTTTCTGGAGGATCTCCTCCTCTCCGATACAATTTTTCGAGCAACTTTGTGATACGATGTATTGCTGTCTGGATTTTGAAAACGCACTTGTTTTGAGATTTAATTTGCGCTTAATGCGTATTTGGCTTTAATCGGTTGATTAAAAGGATGGATATCATTTCGGTTGAATTTTGAGACAACTTTTCTTGCACGTTGTAAATGGAAACAATGATGTCCCGATTTTATTTTAACATGTACGTTGTGTTTTTATATTCATTTGATGCATGTTTATGCTTAATTGTGCATTTGTTGATGATTGTTATTGAGTTTGCATGATTTCAGTGTGTTTTCCGAATAATTTCATGAGATGTGTATAGTGATGTCCGGTTTTGTAAATTGAGCTTCAAATGCATTTTAATTATTGGTTTATGCGCTATTACACTTGCCTTGGTATTGCTTGGACATGTGCATTAAGTTGTGTCGATTTCGGATCGAATTTTCGTGTATTTCATGTGATAGCAGAGTTTCTGCCCCGGAATGGTAATTAGCACTTGCAAACTGATTTAATTCACGGTTATGGTTTATTTGAGCTTGTTGATGCGTTTGGGGACAATCGATACCATTTTCGATCTTTTGTTATTCCAACTTTTCCCGCATTCCCATATGTGATAAGTTGCTGCCCGGAGTCTCATTTTGATGTTGCAATGCATGTTTGTATATCATTTCTTCATGATTTAATTTCAAATTTGATTGTGATGAGAATGCATAACTCCAATTTTGTTTCCTTATTATTCTAACATGTTTGTTGACTTGTGCAAGGGACTTTGAGGGCTTTTGATCGTTTAATTAATGTATTGATTATTTGATCGAAAAGCATGCTATGCCACTTTATTTGTGGGTTTATTTCGCTTCCGACGCGATTTGCTTTGATTCTCATTTCATGAGATATATGCACTGCTTGTGTTTTGTCTGGATATGAATTTTTGTGCAGGTGTTCTGTTTATGGCAGACGTGTCTGACACGCATGCTCATCGTGCTTTATTAATGCTTTAACACATATTATGACCACTGTATTGTTGATGATAGCTTGCTCGAAGTCTTCTGGAGTTATTATGCTTTTGCTTGCTTGCTACGAACTCTTATTTGTTTGGTATTGTACTGATTCTGGTTTATGTTTCCGCATCCTTTACCAATTTCCTTGCCATGAAAAGTAGGAATAGAGATGCATGATTGTGAGTCCCTACTTTAGGTGGGAAATCTATTTAAAATACTTAAGTGAGGTGATATTTGTTCTGTTAAAGTCCTCGAAATAAGGCGATGTTTTTGTTTGCAAAAGACTCCAAAAGGGTCAATTTCGTGTTGTTTGTTTAAAGACCTCAAAAGATGAATTTTTGCTAAATTCCTTGAAGTAGGCAATTTCCTTTCCCTTTTACATTGAGCTTGTTGTCGAGTCAATAAAGTGAAGGAGGGCTCGTAATCGGCCCCCTTACATTCTAGTTTGTGTCGTTCCTAGCTCGCGCCATGCGTTGATGCTTTGAATCATTCCTATTCTTATACATTGAGTCGAATAAAGTGGAGGAGGGTTCGTAATCAACCCCCACATTTTGTCATTCGTTTCGAAGATGTTAGCTCGCGTCGCTCAACATTGATGCTCCGAGTTGTTACTCGATACCGATGCTCGAGCAAATCACATGGAAAAAGTTCCTTACTCCCTTTTTGAGATCCATTGGACTCTATTGTTTGCTATTAGCTCGCACCCGATGTTTGTTTTGGCTTCGGATCATCTTTGCTTGTTTTCACCTTGTGCTTATGCTTTTCATTAGGTTGAAACCTTTGTATACTCCCTTAAGATTCGCTTGTTATGTTTCTGATGCAAGTTAGACATTAGGATTGCAATCCATGCATGCTAACATAGGTAGAGATTTCCCTTTCAAATCTCAACCTTAGGGCCATCATTGTATGATACATTAGGGATAGAGCTAGATAGTCCTGCCTTAGAGGTTTTCTTTTTCTTTTTGCATCTTAAAACTAAAACCTTTTCTTGGAAAATGCATAACACACTCTAACATTCTCAAATCCTCGTTCAAGGT